AACGCTCAAGTCAAGTGTTTCACTTCGAATTCTTTGCAGTAAGTGTTTTTGCTTCACACCTTCTTTTTGTTTTTTGTGTTTTACATACAGAAATAAACTGGAAGCTGGTTCCACAGAAGAGGGGCCTGAAAACTGAAGGCTTTGCCTCCCATTCTACTTTTAAATACTCTAGGAACAACAAGTAGGCCTGCAGTGCGAGAGTAAAGTGCTCTAATAGGGTGATATGGTACTACAAGGTCATTAAGATAAGATGGGGCCTGTTTATTTAAGAAATTCAATTCTGGATTTAACAGGAAGCCAATGAAGGGAAGCCAAAACAGGATAAATATGCTCTCTCTTTCTAGTCGCTGTCAGTACTCTTGCTGCAGCATTTTGGATTAGCTGAAGGCTTTTCAGGGAGTTTTTAGGACATCCTGATAATAATGAATTACAGTAGTCCAGCCTGGAAGTAATGAATGCATGAACTAGTTTTTCAGCATCACTCTGAGACAGGATATTTCTAATTTTAGAGATGTTGCACAAATGGAAGAAAGCAGTCATACATATTTGTTTAATATGTGCGTTGAAGGACATGTGTTGGTCAAAAGACATGAGACTTTCAACTCTTTCATAAGAATGAAAGTGTTGAAAGTCAGATCAATCCAAAAAGGTGCCTCTAGTGTAACTGTGTGATTCTCCGGGTTTTGCATAAAATGGAACAGCTAGTGAAGAGATAAAGATCAGTCACACACAGGCCTTTTTATTTTTGCTTCCACTTATTTTCATTTCCTTGACGTGACACAGAAGTCTCGACTTGAAACTATAACCAGTCATTTGGTTGTTCTTTACCTTATTATGCGATCCATAACTGCCAGTTTTGTGGCACAAAACTGGCCCAATAATTTTAAAGTAAATTAAAACATGTATGATTACATTGTAATCAATTTTGAAAAACACATTTTATTTCAATAATATGGTTTTTAAATTATTCATTTTAAAATTTTATTTTACACACTCAGTCAAACTACACAGCAAAGATGAGATAACCTTTGAGGAAAATCTTCTTTAGCTTGAAAATGGCTAATATTGGACTGCAGTAAAAGAGAGAAATTATTTTTTGCGACAGGCTAAGATTTGAAAATCATAATCAATTGAGAAAACAAGGAATGATACCACTAACAAGTAACCAAGATTACATCTGGCATTGGGTACAGACTGTTGACAAGCTGGCTTGGATTATCTGTGAAAAAGAAAAAGGTTCAAGTCAAGTGTTGAACAGAAAGGCATCAAAGAGGCTAAAAAAGTGCAGTAAGAAGAGAGTTGGCACTCACTCCCCAGAGGCGCAACAATTTCATATGTAGACATACAATTACCTGAATAACAAGAAAACACAGAACTATTTAAACAACTCAACACTACATTAAGTTAGTATGATAGTGTAATAGCTGTAACTTCTGTCGGTGCTGTGCTTTTTTGGAAACCAAATTTCCCAGAGGAACCCACCCGAGGGATTAATAAAGTTTTATCTTATCTT